GAATAAATAAGGAACTCAATATATATATATACCCTTACTAAAATTAAAGTTAACAAAACTATGAATGAGAGACTTCTAAAAATGGACTACAAAGCTACTGAAGACCTACTTTGTGTAATGACATAGAATTTGTATTATTTCCTATACCTCATAATTATCTACACATACATACGCAGGCACACACACACACACACACACAAATTATGTACATACTCACCCACACACACTTTTCTATTGAAATTTAATGAATTGTATTCGGCAAATTGTAATTCAATTATAGTGATACATATTTATAACTGGGAGGGGGCCATGATGGCCTTAAATACAGGCTTTGCTTGGTTTAGGCATCAGTCTCCCACATTGCTTTGAACTTCACATTTAGTTGTATATTCTATAAATAATACAAACCGATGTGGTGAGAAATAAAGTTTATTTTTATTAATATTAAAAACAGTTAAATCGTATACGAATACGAATAGCGAACCATTCGAAATTTTATTTTCCACTGCAAACGCATCGTATTACGACTTCAGAATGCCATATTCACTTCTACTACACTACACTACAGCACGATACCGTACGTGGTTTAAAGGCAGCAAGCTGACCCAAATGTCATTAATGCAGAAATAGTAATTTTGAATAACAACACAAAATATTCCAAAACAATTCCTCGGACGAGCCTGCCCATTTTTAGGGTTCCGTATCCAAAGAGTAAAACGGGACCCTATTACTTAGAATCCGCTGTCTGTCTGTCAGACTGTCCGTATGTCGTTCTGAACGTCTGTCTGTCTGTTCTTCTGTAACCAGGCAATATCTCATGAACCGTGATAGTTAGATAGTTGAAATTTTAACAGACGATGCATTTCTGTTGCCGCTATAACAAGAAATGCTAAAAAACGGCATAAAAATAATGTTCAAGTGGTGCTCCCATACAACAGACATGATTTTTTTTGCCGTTTTTATAGATAATGTTACGGAACCCTTCGTGCGTGCGGCCGACGCGCAATTGGCCGGTTTTTACTTACTTACCTTACTTCAATATAACGTTGCTCGGTTGTATTGTAGTAAGGGCGAGCGCCCTTACACTGTTTTGTATGCACGATTTTATTGCAACGAGGCCAGGCTACAGCTACTTGTTTTGCGTGAATGAAACACACTATTACATTACATATATACTAGCGGACGCATCAGACGTTGTCCTGTACACACCACTTTAATCCGACAACTTATAAATTAAAAAAATATAGCGGATCGAATTGTTGATCTAAACCATTCTCGAATCGATCTGAAGTCATACAAACAATTTCATTAAAATCGGTCCAGCCGTCTAGGAGGACTTCAATGTGTAACGCCCTATTAATAATAATAAACACCATTATTAATTAATCATAGTAAAGATTATCAAAATAAAACGTTTAAGAACGTTTAATCACAATAAAAGTTAATAATATATACTTAAATTAAAGAAATATAAGTGTTAGTAGAAATATTAGTATTGGGAAATGATATTACCAAAAATTGATACAAAAATGTTAAAAATCATTTAAAATATTCAAAAATGGGCATTTATTAAAAATATAGCAAGATACGATCACTATTATGTCAATAAAATACAATTCCGTACTTAGTGATTTCTAAGGGAAGTATTATGTACCGCGCGGGGACACATTTGTAGGACCGTACATATATAAGTACAGAGGTTGATCTCGACTCTTAGTACTATAGTGAAAGTACATTGTATGAACGTCCCATACCAAGATCCTATGGAAGTAAGGTCTAATGGATAAAAGTGATAATATGTGAGAATATTTTTTTTCTCTGAGCGAAAGCTAAAATAATAAATATATGAATATAACTAAGAGCGATGAATGACCTGGGACTTTATAACAGATATTACTATGGAGTTGCGTGGTACTTCTGTACGATAATATGGTAAACGTGGAACCATGAATGGATATGTCTTGAGTGGGGGATATATCATCGATAGCTGTTGCTAGTTGGCGTCTTAGTGACCATCACTATACGTTAGATGTCATTCGGCACAGTAAGAGTTTGTTGGTAGTTGGCGTCCTAGTGTGTTGCACTATGATACGTCGACTGATCATCTAATTTTGGGAAGTCTGGTGGTGGCTTGCGTCTTAGTGTATTCCACTATGATACGTTGGCTATTGCTTGACTGGGGTGTGGTTCCGTTGGTGCGTCTTAGTGTTTGTTTACGCTATGATACGTCGACTATCATTCGGATCGTGAAAGAGTATGTTTGGACATTTCGGGTGTTCCGAGTATATTCCAAACTTTGGAGCCGAAGTTGATTGGAGTTATATTGGTGTGGTGTGAGGGTGTGCGTGTGGAATATGGCAATTTTTGACATGATATTTAAAAAGTAGTAAAATACTTTTGGTAGATTATTCTTTTGTCTGTAGTGATTTGTATATACAGAGTGGCGGATGGCAGAATTTTGTATAGCACACTGGCAATAACCATGTTACAGGAAATGATGGGAAGCTCGAACATCTTATTTTTTACACTACTTGTCGACGTATTTAGTATAATTGGTTCGATTTTACCCGTTTATCTTTTTACCAAAATGAAAATGCGTACTCTATTATTTTCTTTCGGGTTAGTATCAAATATTTCTTTAATAGCCTTGAGTATATGTCTTTATTATATGCCAAAGGACAATGCATACTTTGCATGGCTCGTTATTATTGTCATTTTATTTCGTTGTGGTATACGCTGGTCTTTATGCGGTTTTAGAAATATTGCTAGCGGAAGTGAATCCATTACACCTTAGCCTTATTAAATTTTTTGCATTGGCAGCTTTGCTGGTTGTGCTACTTTTTTAAGTGTGACATTAGCACCACACAAGTTTCACGTAATGGGTTACCATGGTGTCTTCTTATTAAACTCAGTCGTTGTTTTTTTATGCCTCGCGTATCTTTGGTTTTTTATGCCAGAAACAAAAGGGAAAGCAATGCAGGAAATAGAATTATTCTTCAGGAGCGATAACTTTATTGAAAATGGATCTTTGAAACAAACGCAGCAATCTGAAATATTGCTTAAATAGTTAAAGATCATTATTATCATTAATTAAAGATAGAAATGAATTAGCTCTAGGTACCTATATAGTACTTAATAATAGAAATGATTTCTTTATAATTTTGTATATCTTATAAACTTTTAGTAAAAATAGTTTTAAAGATAATATAACACCTTGCTGAAAATATAAAGAAGCTAAACAACATTGATTTAATACTGCGGTTATCTAATAAGTAGGTTAAAATATAGATTCAAAATCGAAATCAAAAAGCGTTTTCAGCTTTCAGTGACTTAATTAATACTAAAGTGTTCCTTATTATTTTTGACCAATTGATTCTTGTTATGTGCTTCTAATGTTTTTTTTTTATGTGAAAAGTTGCCAAACGAGCAGACGGTTAACCTGATGGTAAGTGAATACCGCCGCCCATGGACATCTGCTACACCCAAGGTTTACAGATGCGTTGCCAACCTTTTGAAAATTGGGCTCCGGCTACCTCACTCACCAGACGAAACGCGAAAGCAAATGTCCATGGGCGTTGGTCATCGCATCAGGTGAACCACTGGCTCGCTTGTCACCTTCTCGCATAAAAAATAAATAGTTTCCATTAAATTTGTTGTTGTTTTCATTACTTAAAGATTAACTATACCTTTGTTATGGATAATAAACAGGGCATTCAATCTTTAAAATTTAATGAAAATAACAAGTAGCATTATCTAAATTTTGACCTAAATCAAACTGGGTACATTACAGAGCGTTCTTTGGCTATCAATTTAAACGTTTAGTTTATTTCCATTATTACAGTAAACTAACTGAATAATTACCTTCTTAAAGACAGACAAACATTCATATTATCGCAAATAGAAATACTTTTGATTTTTCACACGAGACTTTACAAGGCGCTTTCCAGAACGGTCGTACACGAAAGCTTTGTGCAGTTACTTTTAAAATAAGGAAACATAAGCCCTATCACTCCCACATAATAATTTTCCCGGAAAAGGCTGCTGTTTTATGAATATATAATAATATTCATTATTTGTAAATCAGGAGCACTCATAATAATTGCTGCTTTTTTACAAATATTGAATACTTCTACAACTTTTTTTATCTTTATCTCTTTCCTTGCCAATTAGCAGTCGGTGTTAGTATCGGGAACAGGTTTAAAGAAATTTATATCTGTTTGTATGATAATAATGTAAATACAGAAATAACGAACAAACATTTAAGGGCAAACACATAATAAAACTAACTAAAAACTAAACTAACAAACATAAACATTTTTAAATATTATCTGTGCCTAACATCCTGTTTGGATAAAATTATAAAAATTTCAATGAAATATTTTACACACACACACACACACGTTGATTTTAAGTTTTCTTACTTACGAAATAGAAATCAGCTCCGCAGAATCGTCGGAAAAAATGTACTGTGAGAAGAAATAAAATACAGGAGATTTACAGGGGTACATATGTGGAAGATGATATTTATTTGGTGTGAAGGTAGTTACCGATGAATAATTACAAGTACGCGGTTTTTGAGGGTATTTTGTTGCAGGTGCCGTGGATATGTCTCACGGCCTGTAGCAGAGTTTAGGGTATTGATTTAATTGGGTCGACCACGGGGAGTAAATCTCACTAAAAAGTCTGTAAATTCTGGCTCTGAGACGCGCGGTGTGCAAAGGCTCGAAAGAAAGGTAGAGCCTGCAGTTGGAACGAATAGGCATTGTCGAACGAATGGGCAGGGTCATTCGGCGAAGAACCACGGCCTCACAGGAGACCGGCGTGAAGTGAAAGTAGTATACTTTCGCGTTTCGTGTTCCAGTGAGTGATGTAACCGGGGCCCAATTTTTAAGAGTTGTCAACTCATCTACAAACTCTCATGTGTTGTAGATTTCCATGTACGGCGGTAAACACTTAATATCAGGTGAACCACCTGATATTAAGTGTTTACCGCCACATAGGAAAACGGGACTGGAACGCAGCCATTAGCTGCCATACCTGGGTACAACCCGGACCACCACACAAGTGTCCGAGGAGGCGACGACCCAAATGTCAGCGGATCGTCGAGTGATGATCACCAGGCCGTACGAAAAGTGATTTACGATGGGAAATGTGGCCTGGGATGCACTGCGTAAAATATTACTGTACTAGAATTCCCGAAGAGTCCCGTACCAGGATTGCCAAAAGTGTAGGCAATACCGGGATCGGATAACGGGAGCCGCCAGATCTGCACTGCTTAGGACAGCGATATTGTCTTCTCAGTCGTACGCCTGGGGAGTGTGGGATAGTCAAAAGAAGGGCAAAGCTGCCCTGTTTACTACACTACTAGGCGTGCGGCTAGGGAGGTCAGGCCAAAAGGTAGTGGATGGAGGTCTAGCGTAGGGCACGTGATCGAAAAACGTTCGGCCTCTTTGGAACCTCTGCTTACGCAGAAGGAGACCTCTCAGCTTTGCCGAAAACTTAGTAATTGCTCCAGCAGGAGGCAAAATTCCGGAGGTATGTGTTCATAGGGATGACCTGAGCTCAAACACCATCGATGGGTTGGGACAAAGGCTGGAGCACTCCAGCGTTTGCTTAAGGGCAATTCTCAGCAGTCCTCAGGAGGTAGCTATACAGTTCCGCCTAGACGGACCAGTACTGAGACCTGAGCGCTATCGTGGGACGCGACCTCACGCTTCGTCGTGGTTCATGGTATGTTGGAAAGCTAGCGGGCGTAGAGTGCCGTCATTGCTTTGAAAAACGACAGCTGGAAGAAGGCCGCGGGGGGACTCAGGGAGGCAACTGCTACTCTGCATATCCGCCACGGCGAGTTCATAAGGCTGTGATAACTCAATGCGCGGTCGCTTTTAGTTTAGTGCACCCGAATAATCTGACTCGGGAATTCGAGTCATAAATACTAACATTGTAATTTATTTCCTATTACGAAAACTAACGATTTTTCGGCCAGATGCCCGGCATGGTTGACGCATTACGCGCGAAAAATGACGGGATGAATATCAGCGAAAACGACGTGTCATGGATTGGTAACATTCGATTTTTTATTAGTTATTATGCCCTGAAAACAAAAAAACTAAATCCAGTTCAAAAATTCGAAAAACCGAGTGATGAAATTTGTAAGGGTTGTAATTTTCCGCGGCATGCACATTTGTACTGCGTTTTCATGTTTATGTCGTTACATGTTTTCTGTATAAGAATGCAGAAATTACATGTTATCTCAACCTCTTTGTAGTCAGGGTAGTGACTGTAGTTGTCGCAGTTTTTACAATTTTTATTATAACAATATTTTGTTTACTTTCTATATTATGCGTGTTATTTAATGTAAATAATGTATGGTCCGTGCAAAAGGTTATAATAAATGTTGTTTATCGCTTTTTCCTATCCTGATCCGTTTATCAAAATAATATATGTCTATTTTTAATTTTACTTATAATTATTTACCTGTATAAAAGCGTTATTCATATTATAACCAATAAAATCATTCGTGTATCATACTGCAAATTATCTTACTTGATCTAGTTTAAACCTCTGTAGACCTTTCCTATTCAACAGGATCACTTACCATCAGGTGAGCCTCCTGCTCGTTTGCCCCTTTTCTCCATAAAAAAAAATATAAAAAAAATATAAAAATCAAGCAGGTGGTATTGACATTGATGAGAATGACTGGAATAAATCATATTAAATAATATGATGACAATACTACATAAAATACTACATTTCAATAGCTTATTGTAGATATGTTATTCATTCATTTATCAAAGCAGTGGTTGCCTATGACGGTTGTGTACGCCTAAGGTTGTGGGTTCAACTTAATTTTAATTTTTTTATTTTATTCGGTATATAGAATAGCAAACAGCACAATAATCTTAACAATAAACTTAATAATGGCAACTTATATATATTGTCCGCCAGTAATATATGTACACTACATGCTTCCTTATATCCTCTCTTTGTTTTTAGCATCAACAATGAACGTCACCTGCATATTCGGTTTGGGCTTGGCTGGACTGGTCACCGAGAAGGTAGGCAGGCGTCGAGCTATCACGATCCTGAGCATGCCGATGCTGCTTGTTGGTGATGCTATACTATGCGGTTCATGGTGTCCACAATTATCGTCGGTCTTACTTACGGCTGCGTCTTATTATTAATACACATCACGATGTCCGAGTACCTACGTGAGCTCCAATAAGAAAGCTATCTTCGTTAACATCGTGACGACTGCTGGCCCTGCGCTCGGCACTGCGCTAGGCCATATCCTATCCATTTTGCTGCATTTGCAGCCGATTCGATGAGTGCGTCGACGCGTTCAGAAACGCGGCGATTCGCCCGGAGCCGAGATGAATTTACTGATCGATCTGGAGAACGTTAAAGCATAGATGCTTTTGGAATATTATTTTGTTGTGCGTAGTGATAAACATATACAGATAGGCGGGCGGCCGAATTTGTCACAGCACCCTGGCAATAACTATGTTACAAGAAAATACTGGAAGCTCGAACATCTTATTCCTTACTCTGTCTTATTCTACTTGTCGACGTATTTATTATAATTTGATCGACTTTACCCGTTTACCTTTTTTTAAAAATGCGAATGAGATCGAACACTTAGTTACACATTTAATGGCGCCTTGACTCCCGAACTAGGATATCCTGTATTTCAGGAGCCAATCCCATCCCCTTGTGCCAATAAACATAAAATAGAAAGCTAATGTACAAAAGGGAAAAAAATAAATAAAAAAAGCGTGTGTTTGTGTGTGTGTGTGTGTGTGTGTGTGTGTGTGTGTGTGTGTGTGTGTGTGTGTGTGTGTGTGTGTGTGTGTGTGTGTGTGTGTGTGTGTGTGTGTTTATTATTAATAAGGTTTTCACATTCAACATAGTTTAGATCTTGTAACCATTTCTTGGTGGCGTGTTTCATTTGGAAGAAATTTAATTATACAATTGAGTAGGTATATACAACGTATACTTTGCATGGGTTTGCTCGTCGTTACTATCGTTTTATTTCATTATCGCATACGCCGGTCCCTGTGTTGTTTGGGAAATTTTGTTGTCTGAAGTGTATCCGTTAGAACTTAAGTCTTATTTTTTTCTCGGACTAGGCAGTTTTACTGGCTGCGCAACATTCTTACGTGTAAAATTGGCACCGCAAATGTTTGAGGCAATGGGTTACTACGGTGTGTTGTTATTAAACTCCGCCATTGTGTTTTTATGCCTCGCGTATCTTTGGTTTATTATGTCAGAAACAAATGGAAAAACATTGCACGAAATAGAATTATTCTTCAGGAATAATAAATTTATGGAAAACGGATCTTTGAAAATAACGCAGCCATCTGAAACGTTCATCGAAGTTTCAAGATGGATGAACCGTGTATATTTTAATAAGTATTACTTAGATATATAACTTAGACTATAATTATCTCGCTTACATTTTAATGTGAAACATCCAGTTCGGCCTTAAATTAACCGATGAAAAAAATTTAAACGTATTTTAAAATTTATTTTCGTAATAAATATTTACAGAAAAAACCGTGCTTTTAAACTATCCACTATATTTAGTAATAAAGTACAATTTTTATTATAAACTATCCGACCGGAACTCACGCATAAAGTGTTTGACAGGTTACACAGCATAGTTCACAGGTACAGTTTGTATGGAAAAATAAACCTTCCCTGGACTTCCACAAATATTTTAAAACAAAATTAGCCAAATCGGTCCAGCCGTTCTCGGGTTTTAGCTAGAGTAAGGAACAGTAATCTATTTTTATATATAAGATAATATGATCAAGGCTAATGTTTTCCTATTAAATGAAAGTAGTTTACGGATTTTATCGCGTTTTTTATATTTATTTGAACTTAAGAAAACAATAATGTTTTCTTGTTTTATTGCAAACAAAACATTTGTTTTTCTTTTTTATGTGATAAGTTGTCAAGCGAGAAGGCGGTTCAACTGACGTTAAATGAATACAGCCGCACATGGAAATCTACAACACCCGATGGTTTGCTGCCTTGATGAACTTTAAGAATGTGAGCCCCGCTTACCACACACCAGACATTCGCTTTGTGACTGTCAGTGTGCAGTATAAAAATTTCCAAACGCGGCAAAAGAACAATAACTTCAAAAATATGTTTAAATAGAACCCTAATATCTTTGATTGATTTTTAAAAAGCAAAATTACAACACAATCGGCAACACTGAATCTATTTGTTATCACCCCTTTTGTTTATAGTGTTCAATAAAGCATATATCATAGAACAAAATGTAATAGACAAAAGTATTATTCAAATAACACGATGGTAGCCTTAACAGCTCCACGATGTCGCTGAGGGCGCCTATCCTAGAACTCGTTTATGAGTGACTAAGCTTCATGGTTTCCTCGGGAGTCTCGGCTCAGACTGTCACTCTGTTAGTAATTATACACTCAGCGTCACAAAAATCGCACCTCTCTGAGTTTGCGCGAAAAATGGCTGTAATGGCTAGAAACGAATTATATTTATATAAATATTGGTATGTTTGAAATGGGTATTTGAATAGCTTTACATTATTAATAAAAAAAATCATGAAATCATTAAAACATTTATCATTATAGAGCGTCAAAAATAAACACTGTCAAATGCTCGTTAGTCGTCTAAGGACGCTAGTTACACCACCTAAAAAGGGTATAAAAGGGTCGATCTGGATGAAATATGGGTTACGTCAGGCCGAAAACCAAAAATGATCCAATCGACGCCTTCAGGCCACGGCCATCACCATCGGTGACTGGTTCCGGCTTTGGAGGATCGAGATCAATCCCACTAAAAGCGCAGCAGTCTATTTCTCTCACAAAAATGCACCTAACCTTCCACCCGTTAAACTCATGGATAGTCCGGTTCCATGGGTAAATAATGTCAAATACTTAGGTGTCGTCCTTGACTCTAAACTCAAATTCAGACAGCACGTGACTCGGGTCAAGAACCGGGCGGCCTTCGTACTAGGTCGCCTGTATCCCCTTTTAAACAAAAATGTCCCTTCGGAATAAGGTGACTTTATATAAGGCAGTAGTTCGCCCCATCATGACATACGCGAGTCCGGTCTTTGCGCACATTGCCCCGAGGCAAATACATCGGCTTCAGGTCATCCAGAATCGATTTTTGCGCAGAGGTTCATGCGAAACATCGACTTACATGTAGATTTAGAGCTGCCAACCATCGCTCAATTCCTGAAGTCGGCGTCGCGCCGCTACTTCGAATCCGTCTCCGCGCATCCCAATCCGTTAGTTGTAGGTGCCGTCACCTACAAACCCCTACCGCTAGGTTCTTTCCGTCGCCAATTGCGCAGACCACGACAAGTAATTGATTTCTCTGACGATGAGACGACTATCGCCATCGACAAAATAAAACAATTACGCAAACACATCATACAGACGCAGACGCAAACAGATCACACCGCACTCGCCGGCGAGTGCGGCAAACATATACTAGGTTCCGCCAGTTTTTTTGGGGTTTCTTCCGCCACTTCTTCTCCCAGCGCCAACGCTCTCCGAAGTGGTAGTAATGTTAGCTCTAGTAATTCCCCCAGTCAGATAATAGCTACCAATCGAGCCGAGATCCGGCCCTCTCGGGCACCCTCGAATCGGAATGCTAAACGCGTATTGAGTGACAGCCGAAGCCGAGGTTCCCTCTCGGGGACCCTTGAGCCTGGTCACTCCATGGAGCGTCCGCCAAAGTGCCCTAAGAGCTTTGCGGCCTCCAAAACCGGTAATAATAATAGAGTGACAGCCCGAGCCGAGGCTCCCTCGGGTGCCCTCGAGCTTAGTCACCATAACGCGTAATAATAATACGCCGAGGTTCAGGATGGACACCAGCTCTGAAGAAGCCGCTCAAGTTATTGCCCTATTGCAGTCGGGGATGCGGCAGTGTGACGTTGCTCGACAGTTGAACCTGTCCCGTTTTTCAGTTCGACGGATGTTCCAACGTTTTCAGCAGACCGGTGGTTATGTTAGAAAACCGGGATCTAGAAGAAAACGGTGCACATCAGAAAGAGATGACCGTTTCATCGTTACGACATCTTTACGAAACCGTTTTACAAATGCTGTTGAGTTGCAACAACAGCTTCGATCAACTCGGAGAACATCTGTGAGTTACACGAAAAGAGTTTAACAGCCCATAGAGCTGCTAAAGGTCCAAAACTTACTGCACAGCATCGCAGAGATCGCTTAGAGTTTGCTCGCAATCATTGCGAGTGGACTCTAGAACAGTGGCGGACCGTACTCTTCTCTGATGAGACGAGGGACGGTCTCTTCTGCAATGACAGACGTAGAAGGGTCTACAGAAGACAGGGGGAGAGGTTCACACAACCCTGCTTCGAAGAATCCGTCGAATACGGGAGTGGCTCATGTATGTTTTGGGGCGGCATTTCCGTCGACGGGAAAACGGAACTTGTGTGCGTTTCCCGGACTCGGGGTGGCCGTGGGCAAGGGTCATTAAATGCTGGCCGGTACATTACTGAAATCCTGGAGGAACATGTGGTCCCGTATGCTGGTTATGTCGGTGATGGATTCATGTTAATGCATGATAATGCACGTTGCCACACCGCGGCTATTGTACGGAATTATTTACAGGAGGTCGATATCCCTGTTATGCATTGGCCAGCACGAAGTCCAGACCTTAACCCAATAGAACATCTCTGGGATGACCTAAAACGGCGCGTGCGAGCTCGAGATCCAGCTCCAACCACTCTTCAAGAGCTCCAAGATGCGATACTTGAAGAGTGGGAACAAATACCCCAAGAGGCTGTTGCGACCCTTGTAAGGTCCATGAAAGATCGCATGGAAGCCGTTATCAAGGCAAGGGGGGGTAACACTAGGTTTTAAGAACTTTTTTTGTATTTATTAAGTTTTTTTTTAATTATTCATTTGCAAATTTGTACATACCCTGTCTTTTTCTTTAATTTCTCTTTCGTCTCGTTATAAAAGTAAAATTCAATTAAGCTAATGAAATTACCTTTCGAATGATACTCTCAAACCACAACATTGCCATTGGCCTGTTGTGTTAAAATAGTATTTAAATTATTTTTTTTGGATGTGCGATTTTTTTGACGCCAAGTGTAGTTTAGTATTAGTAAACAGTATTAGTAAAAACACTTGAACTTGTGATCGAAAAATATCAAGAAAGCAACCGCTCACTCTATATAGCCTACATTGATTACCGGAAGGCTTTTGATACTATTGTACACGCAAACATCTGGGAAGCAGTAAAAGAACAAGGAATAGAGGAACAGTATATACGAGTAATCAAATATATTTATAGTAAAAGCACAAGTAGAGTTAAATTAGAAACAACTGGTACAATCTTTCCCATATCTAGAG